CTTGTCTGGTCTTGCTTACTCACTGTGGATCATCATTTCCCAAATCTCAATGCTTTTATGGGGACAGACTGCAAATAGAAGAATGGAACCCCCCAAACACAAAGTAGTTATTTTATATTTTATAAAGTGGTGTGTGTGTGTGTGTGTGTGTGTATCTTTGGGGATGGGCCAGGTATTTCACAGGGAAAAACTATTAGGGAGTGAGTCTGGCAATCTGTACTAAGTAAAATTATCTTCTTAGTTCTGAAGCAAACTTTAATTGAAGTCCAATATTACCTCCTTTATTTTCTTGTACAGTGACTTTGTGCCCAGTACAATCAGCATCTAGTGATGTCTAGGTAAGCAATTTTCATTCTCGGGTCTTTTAGTCTTTTATGGGGAAACTACTGTGTTACTGTTACTATTTTTTTCTGTCTTATAAATATCAGCTTGTCTTTCAGGACAGAACATAAACTACTTAACATAGCTCCGCCCCACATGAAATCTGCTGCAGTTTTCAGGATACAGATTACAGCATAGAGTAAATTTCTCTACGGCCTCAACATAAAGGAGCTTTACTAAAGATCTGCAGGCAGGTCACAGATGCAGTTTCCCCCTAGATATTGGCTAATTTTTGTTTGTTCATTTGTTTTTCCTAACTCTGGTTCATGGCATGTGTTGTGCATGAATTTTACCCTTGATTCCCCCAATTCTGTTTTCATTTTCACTAGATAGCAAACTCCATGTGGTCAGGCCCACATCTGCTTGGAATTTCATTCTGTCTCCACCCCAAGTGTCTAGCACCATGCCTGATACTCAGTAAATAATTAGAAACACTCAGTATTTAATTATAGGGTGTATTAATTTTAGGTCTTGCAATTTTTGCATCTTTGTGTAGTACTTAAATGTAATATGAAACAAAACTATAACAGTGCATACGATCCTAATGATATAATTGACAATGTGAAATAGGAAGAAAAGGGTTAAAGGTGTAGGGAAAGTAGGAAGGGTAGGGGAAAGGTAATGAGAGAAAATAAAAAAATATGAGAAAATGAAAAAATGGAAATAAAGTGTTTGTAAATGGGGAGGATAGGAGCGGGTAAAGGGAGGGCAGGGACAAGGGGAAATAATGAGAACCAAGACCTGTCATGTAAAGGTACAAGATCCCAATGATGAACGTAACTGTACTGTATCCCTAAAATGTACCAAAAAACTCAATGAGAGAAAAAAATAGAGATAATATACAGACACCCATACATTAATACTAATAATTTAAAAATACATCTGACAAACATTACCCTTTCATTATAAATAAAGTTTTGAAAATTGTAGTAAAAATGGGTTAAGTTGATTTGGACTGTGGTTGTGGAGTTTACACTACAACAATTTCCATATTAATGGTGATGGAGAAATATCCAAATGGTTCCATAGCACTGATTTCAGTTTAGTTCAATCTGGAATTGAGGTTCTCACTAGGGCGGAAATTCTCAAAAAAGACACCAATAAGGACTTTAAAGCTTCCTGAATGCATTTGTGGTTTGGAAGGTGGTTCAAAATCCCCATCTGCTCTGGGAGCATTTCTTTGGGAGATAGAGGTAGATTTTTGTGGTAGAGAGTCATATTATAACTTGTCATGGAGGAAAGGGGTCTAGATATGGTCAAATGATTTGATTCAAACACTCACATCTGGATGTTAAGTGGAAAATTCTACCACGAAACTCTCTTCAGTATCTGTATGAGAGTGCTACTGTGTAGCACTGAGTTCCATAGACTGTATTCAGTGAATAGGTTTTTGAGATTCCCTGAGAGGCATTTCAGACCTGGCAGGGCTGCTAATCACATGAGGGATATTTCTTTGAGTCCAGAAATGAGTTCTGGGTCAGAAGCTTAGATCAAGAATCTCATACATTTCAGAATGGCAGCTGATTTCCTCGGTCCTGTTGGGATCCTCTCAGGAAACTCACCATTTCTGTCGATGGCAAAAGGCACATCCGTTGTGACAATTTCATAGTTGCAAATCTGGCTGTACTGGGGGGAACAGTCCTCATCTATGGCTTCCACCTGCAGTATGCTGTCATAGATCTTGCCCTCTGTTACCATGGCTTTGTAGGCTGGCTCTTTGAAGGTGGGAGCAAACTCATTGACATCCTTCACCTGGATGTGGACCACGGCCCTGGATCACACATTGGAAAGAAGAGATGATGGTAAAGATAGTCTTACTGTCCTTTCATACCTCTGAGGGCTGCTGACTCAGGCCAAGGCCAAGTGTGTGGAAAAACCACAAGACAGTCAGGCCAGGGACTCCTACCTCTTCTCTGCTGGAAGGATCTGGCTTACCAGAGGCGTTGTGAAAGAAGGGACACATGAAGTCCCGAAGATGGCCTAGGAAGTACCTTCCAGCAAGGACTGGTGGGTAGACTATTTCTGGACTAGAATACAGACTGTCCAAATTGCTGCAGGGACCTAGGGAACTGGGAAGACTTGGGTCAGGGCTGGGGCGTAAAGATGCCTAAAGGGCAGCCCGTGGATACAGTGAGTGGAGGTGGCGGGCGAGGGAGGGACTAGGCCTCCAGGGAGTTGTGATGGGCCACTCACTTGTGTGACTTCTTCCAGGCTGTCTCCCGGGGCCCAGCTCCACAGTCATAGGCTTGGATGATGAATGTATACTCCTTCTGTAGCTCACAGTCGATGGGACTTCTGGCGCGGAGCCGGCCCTCCCCAGATGTCTTATTGAGCACTACAGCCTCGAAGGGCAGTTCCTGGCCATGGATCTTGAAAGCACAGATTTCTCCTGCAGAAGGATGGAAGGTAGTGAGTGGGGGCCCTGGGAATTGCCACCCTGAAATACTGCCTTTACTGGGCCAGATTCACGGACCCAAAACTCCGCGCAATTTCCTTCATAAACAGAATTTTCAGATCAGAAATGTTGGTCTCCAGAGATTCACACCAATGTGTTCACTTCATGAAGAGCGAAATATAAATGAAATGTCACCCATTAGATGCATCCTGGTAGGGAAAAAGGTGAGTCATCATGCTGGGGAGCTGGCTGATTTTCCCAGATTTCCCACTTTTTTTTGCCCAGTCTGGAATTAGGAAACTTGCCTACAGTTGAAAGACAAATGGCTGCAGAAGGAAGGACTAAAACAAAACGCCAAGGCTTTTCACAACCCTTTCTCCTGTGACAATATTCCCAGTACTTGAAACTGTGGTGCACAAACCAGGAACATCAGCATCACCCACAGCCTGTCAGAAATACAGAATTCCAGAGCCCAACCCGACCTCCTGGACTAGAATGTGCAGTTTACCAGGCTCTCCAGGAGATTATTAGAGCAGTGTTGTTCTCTTTCCTTCACTAGTGTTTTAAACAGCCCACATCACTGCAGTGAAATTCCTTCTACCTCTCCGACCATTATTTCTCCCCACCTACTCCTTCCCAGTGGTGACAGAGCAGCCACTCAGTGGCAATTTTCTCTCTTCAAACAGTGGGGGTGAGTCTATGTGAGTTCAGGATTCCCTGTGGAGCGTGAAAAGCTAACTTCTTAAAGTGCTAAACATGTTGTGAAATTAATGCATTTCTTTCCTTCAGCTAGGTTAATGCTTATTATAACTATTTCTCTGCATTAAAATAATAAGGCCACGTGAACACTTTTTTCCCTGCATTGATGGATATGTATTTCTTGAACCCCAACTGTAAGCAAAACCTGTAGTAAATGCCTTGTACTAAAAATTCGAGACATCTTGTTCCTATATTAAAAAGTTTATAGACTTGTTGAAGAGATGATGTCCAGATGTCCAGAGAGACAGTTCATAGCAAAAGGGATAGCAGAGTGTAGTATGATATGGACAAGACAGATTGGCTGTAGGCTACTTGGGGAGTAAACAGAAGCTTACACTGAGACTCCAGACCAACATTCTAGGTTTGCCACTTACTAACTGAGAGGTTTAAATGAAATGAAATTGCTTTTCTGGGCCTTAACTGTGTCATCTGTGAGATGGTCTGGGAGATGGTGTTAAGGAGGAGGGCATCTACAGTGTGACACCTCAACCTTGGGCTGACACTGCCCAGTTATACTTCCTGGACCAGAGAGAGGCAAGCAAAGCACCTAGGATGTTACAGGAGGTCTTGTTCTCAAGGTGACCCAAGTGCTTGCTTGCCTTACACTGGTCCAGGTCCTGCCCAACTGTTTGTATGAACTGACACCATGAGGAGAGGGGATAACATGACTGCATGCCTGCTTGGGCAGCCCGCTTTGTACCACTATCTCAGTGGTCTCATTTGACTTTCAAAACAAATCAGTAAGCAGATGTTTATATAAAGTTATACATACTACAAGAAAGAGGAGGAGGAGAAGTAGGATGAGGAGGAACACGATTAGGGAAATTCATTACTTGCTCAAGGTCACAAAGCTGAAGTTGGGTATTAAACCCAGGTATGGCTGAGTTGGAAAACCATGGGCTTTCCACTTTACCACATCATCTCCAGACAGTTTTGTAACTTCAAAGGGGACCACTTGGTGATGTTTCCAGGAGCATTCACTATTCCAATTCAAGTCTTGCACAAGAGAGAAATCCCACATTTTACATATAGAAAGCATGCCCTGATCTCTCACTAACAATGTGTTCTGAGATGTTCAATCAATACCAATCCTACCTTTAGGCTTTTGTTTTATTATTATTTCTTCGATCTTCAATTTCATTATGAACATTCCATTTTCACTACCTCTCCTTCTGGCTATTTTTCTAATGGAGTTGGAGAATAATGGACAAGACAGAAAAGTTGTGGAGCAGGCTCTAACAAGAACACTGGTTCCTGTTAGCTGGTGTTGCTCAGGAGCACTGGGCATTTCAGTCTTGCCCATTCTGACCAGGCTAGTCCTGTAGCCTTCAGGGTTTTAACTGATCTCCACAGGTTTTATCTGATCCTCAATTTTAATTTCTGCTCGGGATTAGCTGGGATTGAACATACCATCTTCTGAAGTGACTTCCCTGTGATTTTATTCCAGGATCAATGCCAATATGAGACTGTTACAATGTCCCCAGACTGGTTCTGGGACAATCTTTGGAGTGTCCAACCACTGCCATGATTATAAGGCTAATCAGACCATTTCTCTTTAAAAAGCCAAGTTAAACCTAAACTAGATGAGGGTAATTTTCTATTGAAAACATCTGATCACAAGCAAGGCCGTTCTCAAGACTCAGCAATCCTTTAGAAGAGAAAGGAGAGGAGGGAAGGAAAGGAGAAAGAGAAGGAGGGGGGCACAGGGATGACTTCAAGGTCATGAATTTCCATCTAGCTCAATGCAGTTCAAAAGATATGATTTTTTTTCACAGCCAACTTGTACTAGGCTCTGCATGGGGCCTGAAGATACAAAGATAAATAACTTGGACTTCTTCAAATATAAGGATCATATATTCTCAAGTACTTCTTATCTAGTTATAAAGGCAGACAAGCAAACAAGGGCAATGCTGTGCTCACTCATTTTTCACCAGCTCAAACTGAATCAGGCTACAGCAACCCTAGAATAAAAACCCAAATTCATGGTACTCTTGTTTATTCCACTTTTACACCTGAAACTTGTATTCCTGTTGCAACAATATTCACTTGTTAAATCATCCTTTCATCCACACAATAAATATTTATTAGGAAATACATACTGGGCACTGCTACGGCAATCATGAACAAAGCCAGACTCAGGCCTACAACCCACTTGCCATTCAGGGAGGGAAGGAAATAAGCAAATATATAAACGAAGAGTGGTGACTGTGGTGCGCACACTGATGGAGAGTTACTTTGGGCCAGAAGTTCTCTGACGTGGTGTGAAGCCTGGACCAAGATAACGGGAAGGGAATGTAGAGACACTCAGGCCACAGGAAAGAATACATACCCCCAGTAGGAAGGAACACAGCGAGACGGTGGGGCCCAGAGTGGCAGGAGTCAAGTCCATGGAGGCAGGGCCAACTTCACGGATGTGCAGCCCTAGAGCTATGAGTTTCTTGTTCTGAAGGCGCTGACCATAGTTTAAAGATATGCTGCCTATTTTGAAATTTTCAGTACTTTTATCTGTGATCTTGTGTTCATGCATGAGGTCGTCTGGGTCAACGGAGCATGTTGTGAGCAGGGGAGACAAGCACAATATGCCCACTGTGTCTTGCTGTCCCATCTACACATAGCATTCTGAATGAACGTGAGCACAGAATCCTGGTAGGCCCACAACACACAGGAGTTCGGCAGGTCTCAGAGCAGGAGCAGGTAAGCACATTATGTCTCGGACTGAGCAGGTCACTGACCGCTCCAAAGGGCTCTGCTTTCAGTTTGAACCAAAATTGTTCTGCATGCAGAAAGCAGGCAGTGGTGTGTGAAACATGATCAGCCTAAGAACTCTGCTGTCTTTTTCATTTACTTCCCTGTTTGAGCCAATCACTTATACTGAAAATGATGGCAGAGGAAGGGGAAATATAAGAAAACTCACAGATCCTTTTCTTTTTTTGTGGCCCTTCCTATCAGTGAGCCCATGACAGAAAGTGTTGGAATAACATGCACATGCCAAGAAGTGAAATAAAAACATTTGATTCTGTGCATACATATATACACACACGTGCACACACATGAACCATAAAATGCAAGTTTTATAATTTTAATGATCCTGCATACCATTTAAATGCTTACATTTGCATTTAAAATGGGCCTTACCTAATATAAAGACAAATGATAAAGTTCAGGCTGATATTTAAACTTTCAATTTTTCTTTAATTAGAACTACACCAAATAGATAATTTAAAACACCACAAGCTGAAAGAAAGAAGAAGAGAGTGGTGAACACAGAATGGATTCCTGGGAAGAATAATATTTAAAATTTCAGTTCTCAGGTCAGGGTATGACACATTGGGCTATCTTGATTTTTTTGGGGGGGGTATGGAGTGTGGGGGCTGAATTGAACTCAGGACCTTGTGCTTGCAGGGCAGGTAGTAGCACCACTGAGCTAAATCCCCTTCCCAGGGCTATCTTGATTTTTTGTGAGAGCTGTCACTATATTTGTTACTACTAATAAAGCACAGCATTGGGGGGAATGATGCTTTTAAAAATTAGAAAAAAAGCCCAATGGTTTCTAGATATCACTATCAAAATAACACCATCAAAATCCTGCTTTCCAGCATGCTTTCTTGGATATGAGCTGGTTTTCCAGAATTTGTGTGTGGGATACTTACCGGTCAGCACATATGTCAGGCCAGCAGTGGGCTCAGGGAGAAAATAAGGCTACTGGGCCCCAAGGCCTAAGAAGGCTGAACTCAGCTTCCCCAAGAGTCCCTTTGAGGGCCAGACTGGAAGAGCAGCCCCCACAGTGCCAGATGACATGACACTCCAACTCTTCAGCTCCCTAACTGTCTCATCCATCTGCCTTATCCTCAGCAGCATCGCACCTCCTCTGATACTAGCAAGAATCATTGTAGCTGTCTCTTTAGACCTCACATAAGATTTGGGGGGAAATGCCTTTAGCTTGGTTTTCAGAATATGGTTTGCTTCTACTCTTGAAAATCCTTGAACAAAAAATTGTATTGATTCCATTTTTCAGATGAGAAAATATATTCTTAAAGAGATTAAGTGGCTGATTTTAGGTCTAGAAGGACATAGCAGGTCCTTTCTAGCAGGACAGCTCCCAAAGTCAACATGACCATCACATTATGCTATGTTATTGACCTTTTCACTGTGATGACACTCGCAGTGATTGTATACGAGGAATGGCAAGTAAGTGTCGGTAACTAGTAGCACTTCATTGAATTCTTCACTACAACATATTTAGTGTTTTTAGAAAGCCAGTTGCACTTAAGAATGACTTTAATGATACAGTAACAGTGTTGATTTTGTAAGTCTCAACTCTCGAATTCACGTCTTTTCATTCTGCATCCTGTGGCAAAGTATGTCTCTAGGAAAAGTATTTTTATGAATTAAATGAGTAGTAAGCTAAACCAGAAACTCTTCATGGACTGCTATTTTTGACTTGAAAGATGATTGACAGATAAACTGTTTCCCTTCAAACTTTGAGTGTGTGGGAGACATTTTCAAAGTAAGCCTGCCACCTCAAGGCAAAGAACTGAGTATTTGCTGCCAATGATAAACTCTGAGCTTTTGATTTTGGAAAAATTGTGCCTAATACAATGAGTTTAACAGTTTATCAATATTTTGATACTTCCCCAATGAAATGGCTAGTGATATTGATGAATGTAATTTTTTGACATTGCATAATGAGATAAGTCAACTTTTTTTCAGTACTGGGGATTAGACTCAGGGCCATTGCATTTAGTGACATCCCCAGCCCTTTTTACTGGGGGTACCAGGGATCGAACTCAGGTCTTTGAGATTGCGAGGCAGGCAGCGGAATCACTGAGCTAAATCCCCAGCCCACCCAGCCCTTTTTATATCTTTTATTTTGAGATAGTGTCTTGTTAAATCACTAGATTTCCCAGGCTGGGCTTGAACTTGTGTCCCTTCTGCCTCAGTCTCCCAGTGACATGACAACTTTTGAATGATCTACTTAACCATGAGCTAATATATAACAAATGACTAGGGAAACATTACACAGTCACATATGGATAAAAGATTCAAAGAGCAAACTAGACCAGTGACTTTTAATATAACCATGTACAATGGATTGAGTGTTTCTAGTTCTCCAAATTTATATGTTGAAATCTAAACTCCTGGGTGATAGTAATAGGAGGTGAGGGCCTTTGGGATTTGATTAGTTTGTAGAGGCAGAACCCTTATTTACTCATCAACTTGGTTAGATTAGGTCATGCCTAATCCTGGGTGTGTCTGTGAGGGTCTTTTGAGAGGTGGTGGGCATGCAGGACAGTGAACTGAGTGGGCACACCTGCCCTGAATGTGGGCAGCATTACCCGACTGGACAGAGGCCCAGATGGGACAAAATAGGAAGAGAGAGGAGACGCGCTGGCATACACTCTCTCATTCTCACTTCTTGGCCACCATAACATAGGCAGCTCTCCTTTACCACGTGCTCCCCAACGTGATGACTCAGCCTCACCACAAGCCTGAAAGCAGCAGAGCATGTGACTATGGATTGACATCTCTGAAACTCTGAGTCCAAAGAAACCTTTATTTTTTAAGCTTTAATTCTTAGGTGCTTTGTTACAACAATGAAAAGCTGATTAACACAGTGCCTAATGAAAGAGGCTCTAGAGAGATCCTTGCCCCTTCTGCCTCTAAGGTTACAGGGAAAATATACATCTTTGAGAAAATGGGACCTTGATAGACACTAAATCTTCTAGCACTTTGATCTTGGTCTTTGCAGCCTCCATAAATAAAGTTTAAGGGCACGCTAGTGAAATGGTGAGAAATTAAATTTCTGTTTCTTTAAGATACACTGTTTATGGTATTTTGTTATAGTAGCCCACCAGGTGGACTAAGAGACAATGTATACTTCAGCATAACTTCAGATTCTTTATTGTATCTACCTTTTAAGAAACTAGTCTTTGTGGAGTTCTGGTATAGTTATCAGAGAATATTATCTACAATTAACAGAAATTTCTTTTCTAACTGCATAGCTAGGTGAGATCATATTTTCTTCACATCTTATCATAAACAACATATCTAACGGATTGAAGGCAGAAGCAGGTTTCTTCTATTGAGCTAGGCATTAAGGAGGTTTCAAGACCTGGCTCAGTGGCTTGTGTCTATAGTCCTGGCTATTCAGGAAGTAGGAGGATCCCTTGAACCCAGAAGTTTGATACTATCCTGAGCAACACAGGGAAACCTCATCGCAAAACAACAAGAGATGTTGCAAAAATATTAGCAATGTCTTTGATCTTACTAATTTATGTTTGTTTGGAAAATATGTTTTGGTTAAAACTTGTTATTTATGCTAACAGTAATAAGTTTATTAATTTATTTTTAAATGAATTAATATAAGTTTTAATGTTTCTCAGTTTTAATTTCTAATACAGTAACTATTGATAGATAATCCATATAAAGGAAAGCTCTTGAGGTTCCTGCTTAATATTTAAGAGGGTAAAAAGATCACAGGAGGGCCGGGGATTTAGCTCAGCGGTTCGGTGGCCTGCCTTGCAAGCGCAAGGACCAGAGTTCAATCCCCGGTACCAAAAAAAGAAAAGAGAGAGAGAGAGAGAGATCACAGGAACAAACAGTTTGAGACCTGCTGTTCTTACAATTTACCAGTCATAGCTTACACTCAGTTCACAATGCCTTACCCTGTTTCTAATACTCAAAACACCATCAAATGACCATCACTTTGTAGACAACTCCTCTTTTTAGAGCAGCCCAGTCTACTTTGTATCTCTTAGCTGGGGCATTGGATGCAAGAATATCTAGGCAGACTTTTACATCCATGTAATACAGTGCTGAGGGTGGGGAACTTTGCTTGCACATCTTCATCCAAATCTGGGGCCAAACAGGCTGGGATGGAATCCTAGCTCTGTGGTTAATGACTTATGTGACCTTGGGTGAGTCATTTAGTACACTGTGCCTGTTTCCTTACCAGGAAACTGGGATGATATTTTTTTCCCCTCATTGAGTTTATTGGTGCATTAGGTATACAGTACAGTTACATTCATTATTGGGTGGGATAATATTAATAATAGTTACCTCTAGAGTTGGGAAGATTGAAGCAATTGATATATACCTTGCACTTAAGAGCCTGGCATGGAATAAGTACGATAGAATAGTTAGCCTCTCGATGTCACTATATTGAAGAAAGTCACACACTGTGACAAACTTCCTGTTTCTCTTTGAGATCTGAAGAGGCTGAAAGTGTAGCTCATTTCACCATCACAGTGTGTGTCACATGTGCTAATCAAAAACAGTCTGGCTCCTTGAAGCACTTTGCACCTATAAGCCACAGTTCAAACTCATAGTGTTCTGAATGCCAATGGCCAATGACAGCATCCCCTATCTTTGCATGCTCTCGTTCAGGGCCTGTAGTGCTCTATGGGGAAGTATAATGTGGGGATATTTTTGTTTGACTGTTCTTTCTCATCTCAGGGACTGAGGCTTGCTAATAGCCTTCACTGTGCAAGAGCCAGGGGTGGTAAATATCGTGCCCTAAGTAGACCA